AATTCTTCAGCACAAGCCCCCTTTTCAGAGTAGAGTGCTATGCAAGGTCACAAAATGTGTCTTTGTGTCATTTAGACTTTGACAAATTCTTCACGTGGAAATTTGGTCCAAGGCAGGGCAGAGGGGGGTGGGAGGGCGGGCAGGAAATGCACTTTCCCTTATTTCTCCTCTCTACAACTGGAAAGAGGTAGGATATAGAAGAGCTTTCAGGCAGGGAGATTTTTCTGATTAAGACTAAACTTTTTGGAGTAAATTGCACAAATGAGTCTGACAGAATCTAATTATTTTTCCAAAAGAACTAGATTAGGGCAGGGGAAAATGCCACCAGGTAATGGAAAACTGGAGTACTAGGAGAAACAGCAAGGGGTTGTGATGCTCCTCATGTTAAACAGCTTAGATGACCCCAGTCAGCATAGAAGCAGCTTTCCCAGAGAGCGAGCTTGCAGCCTTCTCCAAGCCTCAGAGGAATCACCAACCAATTTATTTGGTTTTGTGGGGGTTTTTTGTTGTTTGTTTGTTTGTTTTAAAGCAGATACACTCCATTTCACAGCCATCAAATCACTTGGCAGTTTCTGCCCAGTCCCCTGCAGCCTGCAAGTGCCCCAAGCCCTGGGGACCCAGCAGTGCTCCTGGGGGCTGCAGCTTCCAGGGCAGGACACTCCACTCCACAGGCTCTCCTGGGGAGGGGCCTTCACCACGGAAAGGCCAAGGTATGCGGGCTCCCATGCTCAAGGTTTTCACCAAAGCTAACAGACCAGTTTTTCCATCCCCTAAGGTGTCTGCCTGAAAACAATTATTTACTGCGATATCATCTTGTATGCAACAGAAACAAAAGAGCACCTAAGGTACGCACATCTCTGCCACAACCTGCTTGCCTCAGGGTTTCGTGTGCATTTAGTGAGACCCTACCTTAGCCTTGTCACCAAAGTGCAACTTTCTGAAATCCTCACTGTAACTACCATCACTCAATGTGGTACAGCTCCCAGTTCTTGTGTTACAGCATCAGAACTGACCATGCTTTCTTGAGTTTGTTAACCAAGAAGCTGAATTTCATGTTATTCTCCCTAGACGTAGGCTCCAGGATGAGATTCCTATCAGCATTACAACCTAGTTATGAAGAGTTCGTGGCTCCAATATACCAGATAAGCTTAAAATAGGTTCTTCTGAGTCACTGCCCTTCTTGTAGAGGTTCTACCTACCTACCGGTCATATAGCTGCAAACACAGTGAGCTGCGACAGGCAAACAGTCCACCTAGCACAGTAGCGAGTACCAACAACACTGATGCAGAAATGCATATGCTTAAAATACTCTTTGAAAAAAATAATTTGAAGACATTTAAAGGAGGAGATGAGCTTCTCTGGACACTCCCTTTGTTTTAACTTTCAAGCTTTGCCAATCCCTCTCCCATTGCACAGCGAGAAGGTTCCCAAACAAACTCTTCCAACCAACAAAACTCACCTCAACTTCTGAACAGGCATATTCTGAAAAATTACAGAAACAGAACCTGTACTAGCAGACTCATCAAGTCTCACAATGAAAGACTTTCTGTTAGGAAAAACTTCCTAGAACAGCAGGAAGCAAAGGAGGAATTAAAAATACAGGCAAAAATGCATGGTATGCACCCAAGGGTCTGCTCCTGTGGCAAACTCAAGTGATAATGGAATTTTACACTGGACTAGGAAACAGTCTGCTATTGAAAAATAAACGCCGAGACCTTTAACACAAACAAATGTCTGTGTGAAACTGTGGATATTTATTTTGAGAATGGCAGCGCTGACTCTGATCAGATCATTTAATTCTATTTACATGGTGACTATCATGCTAAATAATCCAGTTTAAAAATACACAGAAGTAACTGGGTAGACCTATCCTGGAGTAAGAGAGGTCAGTTCACAAAAAATAAGGTAGGAACCAACAAGAGTTTAAAACATACAGCATAATATTCATACTGCTATACTTCACGTTCAATCATTGTAACCTATTTTACACTAGCATTGCTGATTCTGCTTTACCTATCACACTTGTCCCTCCATCAAGAGTCCTGTAGACATTTACAAATCATTTACAGTAGTTATATCAATGCCATCAACAATCAATCCAATCAACAGTGCTTATAATATCAATGCTAATGTTCTCTTTGATTAGACAATATTATGAATTCTGATTTTGTGATGCACTTCAATTGCCACAGGGTAAGTGAACCGTCTTCTTTAAATACACAGATTTTGCACAATTGGCAGTTGTACCAACATTTGCAGAAAGTTCCATGGAGAGACGTATTGACATGCTCCAAATGTCACTAGAAGTCTATCTGCAATTTATTAACTATGCAAGAGAACAGGGAATGGTAGAGCACCCTTAGGTCATGACAAACTAAGACATGAAGAGGGAGTGTTTGGAAGCCACGTAACTTTAGTGGCGACAGATAATGCATGAAAAACTACTCCATCTTTGCCACTGGGAAGCACCTAATACTATTAGCATATTCTTCCAAATTAGGAACAACCTTTTCTTTTGACCATGGTATTATCCAACATAAATGAAACAAAAAAAAAAAATCTTAAAACACACCTTTCCCCTTCAGGTTTCACACTTGCAGTATTCTACTAATTCCTGTAGCTCATAGTGAAGACATTTATTTTAAAGAGGCTGCCAATAAATCAGTAGTTTAGTGTCCTCAGGAGATGCAAATGTTCTGGATGACAGAACATTAGTCCTCAAAGCCTCTGTCCAGTTCATGAAGATTCAGTTTACCATAGTCACAAAACCTAGAGTGGTGGCTTGCCTTGTTTTATCTCAAATTCTACCAGGTAGGACCACTTCCTAATAAGTAATATTTTAAATTTGAAATGCATAAATAAAATAACCTGGTCAAATTTATTTAGATTATTCACAAGAAATAAAAAGAAAAGCAAATCAGTCCCTTCTTAACACGTGGATGTTGCTACAGTCTTTGTGGGTTTATATTTTGCATATAATTTTACCTGCTATATTCTCCACATGTGCAGCTGCCATAGGCAGAAAAAGGTTGGTTGAGTACTGTTTTCTAAGAAATGATTTAGCGTGCACAAATATTTCAAACAGGCAGCTTCTCAATGGGCAAATACAGTGGTCAGACAGGCAGTGTCACTATGAGAAGTCTATGTGAACTCTCCAGGCTTCAACATATGTAATCATCTTAGCGGTGGAAAATCATGACCTAATCAAATTTCCTGTGCCAAGCAAGTCTTTTGTAGCTGTAGCAATGAATGCTTTTTTCTGTAAATGCTACAAAGCAAACAAAAATAAGAAACCAGCAAAGAAACTTACAGAGGAAAACTTCCCATATTTGATATACACTACAAATAACTCAATACATCCCATTAAAAATAAAAAAAAGATGATGACTTCTGAAGTTATTTGAAAAAAAATACTCTTCAGTGGATCTAACCTATGGCAGCATAAATTACGCATATGTGAAAAATATGAATGATGGCAATCAGATTATACGGAATGTAGCATGTTTTGGTCACCATATTTAGATACTTAGAATTATGATAAGGAATACACTCAACACATCACGTGCACCATGACTGAATGGTTAACTCAAGCACATGAATTCTTCCATGCCCGCACTTCTTGTAATTCAGTTAACAATGTGACCATGTGAAAGTTGTAATTTCCCAAACTCACTTTGCTTTTTTTTTCCTCCTCTGTCTACATGCTTACTGGAAAGAAAAGCCAATTAAAATACACAGTTAATATACATGCTAATGTAATTCTGTAAAATAATATTTTAATCTGAGGAGGATTAGTGTACTGAGAAAATCCATATGATGTGGATCAAACAGTTTATAAGTCTGCATGTGTCTGCAATTACTGCTTTGTAACTGCCTAAGGAGAAGACAAAAAAAAAAAGCATTTATGTCCTAGGACACACAGACACCACATCCTTTCAACCCACTGCTCTTTTGTCTCACAGCTCTGTTAAACAGTCAGCTGCTGCCAGATGCTCTGGCTAGAAATGGTCACAGATGGTCAGTTGTCCAGTTAACAGACCAGAATGCTCTCCTCAAATCTCCCTTAAAATAGTATCTCAGCTGTATGCACAGCAGATGAGAATATCTGAGCATGGTCAAGAGGCCATTTGACCTAGTTGCAACTGCAGGTCAATTTTGATAATTTAGCCAAGATTAATTCTCCACGCTACCCCTAAGTAAACTATCTTAACACACTTGAAACACTAAGTGTCTAGTCCTATATTACTTTTGCTGATTACATTATAGATCACATCTTTTTATGAAAAAAATTCTCAGTTACATATATAAACAGAAGCACCTTCTACACAGGGATAATACCAACACATCTGTACTAATATACATCACAAGAGCCACAGGAGGAAACAGAGTCAGATGATCAATGGAAAGACTCCAATGGGACTCAGCAAGCTCTGTGCCCTAAACTTTGTGCTCAGTCCTGCAAATATTTACCAGTACTCATTAAAAATATTAGCAGGATAACAACATGCACAAGGGCTACTTGCTACTACGGTGAGCAAGCAGTGCTTGTTGTGCAGTATAGCTGTGACAAAGGCTACAAATAACAGGGAAATAGGCTAGAAATACCAGAGAAAAATCTTTGGTATTTTGTATTAATCCTTCACTGATACTAGATCAGGAGTAAAAACACAAAAGCTGAAAAAAATTAGTATTAAACGGAATATTAAAAAGACATGTCATTTACTATCAGTATTTACTAACTGTAAGTTCTGTACCTTGTGATAAGTAGTTGGATGTCCTTCTTCCAATTTACACAAGATCTGGTTATCTAAGTGTTGTGCAACACATATTTTAGGAGAGGATTATTCCATCAGCAGCATAACTCAAGCTTCCAAAGCTCATTGCTGGGAAAATAGATGGCCAAACCTAACGTTGTTGCCTTACAGGTCTAATGATTTAAGCTAAGATGTCCTTTGACCTCGCTGTCTTCCAGAACAGTTAGAAATATTTTACATACTCACCTAAACCACTGACAGTATACTCAAGATCACTGGCATCCAACAGAATTGGTCCATTCTCCTGTTGGCCTTCTTCCTTGTAATACAGCTTGTACCCTTGAATAGTTGCAGTGTCCTCAGAGTCCTGCTGCCACTGTACTGTAATGGTTGTGCAGTTCATCGGCTCCAAACGCAGCTCAGGAGACTTTGGTGCTGGTTTTAGAGAAATATAATATTCTTATATTCTAGAAACAACTAATTTTCATGCAAAAATCTGGATGTCCATCAGTCCAAAGTTCACTCAAAACTTTGATTCTAGCTCATCTGTGTACTCACATAATTATTTCTTTATTATGATGTCTGACTCCCTACAAGCTAATCTAACAACTTAATTTAGGATAAATCAGAATAGAAACATTTTTTTAATTCTGCATCTTAATAATTAATTAAATTTAAAAGATAGTTATTTTCAAAGAAAACCAAAAACACTCCAAAGATAATTATAAAATTACCTCCTGTTTTAAAGTGAGCCAGAGCAAATGTGATTAACAATAACAATCACAGTTCATCAAGTGCTAATAATTTGCGATAGTAGTCGAAACTCAATGAAATCTGAAGTGGATAGATGTGGATTACAGCTAAGAAATAAAGTTACAAATTCAAATCTACATCTTTTTCAAGCCATTCATGCAAAGTTGAATGCTCTTCTGCATGACATTACTAAATAATAATGTAAGCCAAAGTTCAATTATAACAACTTAGACTTCAAGTATCAAGTCAATTTGCATATTCAAAACCTATGTGCATTTTGTTTGTAATACAAACGTACATGCATCAACTCAGATCTTTTAAGTACCTGTACACACTGCTAATGTGTAATGTCCCTATTTGCAGAAAGATATTTTACACTGAACAACAATGGGGTTTGGGGTTGTTGGATTTTTTTATTCAAATTATATAAAACAGAAGAAAACTGTGTTATCATTGGAAATGAGTCTACAAGCTAAAACATTTGAGCAGCTCACAAACATGAATTAAAGTTTCCTGCCACCACGTCAAATATGTGAACATCAACATGTGGAAACAATCAAAGATTGACACCAAAATAATATATCAGCTTTTCCTTTTCCTGTCACATATAAGGCCTTTCATAAGACAGATTAGTCCTTCTTCAACCTTTGATCCTGAAACTATGTATTAACTGCATTTAATTTATTAAGGGAATCAGAAGTTTTTGCAGATTATGCACAGAATCATGGTTAGAACACTATTTTCTAGATCACCAGAACAAGAACATGCAATGGGAAAACCTATTTCACATCCTCGTGCTGCCTGTCAGAAAAATTTGTAACGTTCAGATGAAGCCTGCAATTGACCCCATCTCTAGGCTGCTGGTAACGTTAAGAATTACCTTTCACACTTGTAGCTTTGGGAGTCCGGTGGGAAGTCCACAAAGATGCCTCTCCCCAGCCAATCCTTGTCGCAGCAGTGATACGAACCAAGTAGACACTGTCAGGCCTCAGGCCTTCGAGGAGATACTCATCTGAAGTCCCTGGAAGCTCCAAGACTTGGATTTTGGTCTCTGTGCTGAGGCGGAAAGATAGACGGTACAGGACCACCTGACCTCTCCTGTATTTTGCAGGAATTGGCAGCCAAGAGATGAGAATATCCGTAGGACTCCTGCTTGTCAAACTAATTTCAGGAGCTCTCAAGGGAACTAAAAAGGAAAAGACAAAGCTTTTGAGCTCAGGGAAAAGAGAAAATTCTCATCTGACACCTTAGCCTATGATGAGGTGCCAGTAATGTAAGAGTAAATAATCCAAGAAGTTTTGTAATTCTTATTTTAAGGATAACTTGACACTGCTCATACTTCTCACCTTCTGCATGCAGCATTTATGCATGCAGAAATTAGCAAGCTCCTTTCTGTAATGCCCTCAACATTTTCTTCTCTTATTGCTGCCAGCAGTAATCAAAGGCAATCAACACGTTATTGTTCTGCCAAACTGACTGTCAAGGTTAGATGCAGCAGCTTAAACTGAGAGTCTAGACAACAACCTGTACTGTTGAGGACTCGGTGCATGTTCTCTTCTGCCAGCCATGTAACGAGAGTAGTAACTCCTGGCAAAGAGGCAGGCAGACAGCTGGAACTGGCAATGTTCCACGCTGCCAAAGCTTAACCCTGTCAGAATTTATTAATCAGTTCTAATGAACTATGCTAAACAGTTTGTTGTTGCCATGATGTTCAGATTAGTTAAATCACTGCACAGAAATAAGTCAGTAAGGTCTTTTACGAAATTCTGATTCTATGAACAAGAACATAGACAAAAAAAAATTAGTTTTTTTGGTATAGCAAGTTTTTATTCCAAATTTTCCTTCAAAATTTGCAAAAGATGCAGTGGGTGTGCAGTTCAATTCATGTTTCAGATGCCCAAGAAAGAGTCATAGAGACTAAATCCTAGGCTATCATCAAATTCTAGAATAGTTATTTACATGATTTAATGAAATGTCTTTCAAGGTAGAATAAGACATCATGTAATATACAATGTTGCCCTGTCAGAATGTTATTTTATTGTCATTCCTTTCATTAGCTGGCTCAGTCTTAACATTGCACATATCCAGAAGTCTCACTGATGACAATGGAAATTTGAGATCCTCAAGAGCTGTTAGCACTGAATTGCACATTTTTATTCAGTGCAAATAAAAATGTTCACCTAAGTCAGTGGTATTTGTCTTACCATCTTCAAGGGTGTGCTGAGTCACATGATCTGACATCTGACTGGCTCCCAGAGGCATATAAGCTACAATATAGAAGGTGTAGTTGCTGGCTGGTTCCAAGTCATCAATAATGTAATGGGTTGTATCATTTCCAATGACCACTTGGTACTCTTCGTTATTTAAACCTGGCATAAAACAAGGGTTAGACAAACAAAAATTCCTGACATTCCCTAAACATCACCATATCTTGGCTTTAAGATGTTACAAAGTTATTTCATGTTCTTCCCCAGCCTACCTCTATTTTTTCAACCCTACTAAGTAAAAGCTCTTTTATGCACAGGAGTAACTGTGTCTTGCTGTGGCGTAGATTATGGTGTTTCAGGATTTTCCTGAATAAGTGATGCTGAATGCAATTCTAAACCCTATTTAGAACTAGTCACAACAAACTGTGCCCAATGTACAGTAACACAACAGACAAGCTCTAACAGCCCTATCATTCATACCAAGCTTCTAAATCTATTTGTTTAGAGTCAGGGAGGTTTTTTTCAAAACCTATTTACAGAGCCTGTCTATAGCAGACTGCAAGGAATGCGAGGGCTCCACTCCATCAAAAACAAAACAAACACCACCCCCCCAAAAGAAACAAACAGCATTTATTCAGCAAAAGGATCTCATTTTAGCCCTGCGAATTCTATCACATTTGATTGACACGTTTTTTTCTTTAATTTGGAGAAAGGCCAATAAGAACAGACCAGAATGAGCTTCAAAAATGTTTGGCTCCTTACTGAGTTGTGAGGAGGGAGGGAAGGGAGGGAAGGGAGGGAAGGGAGGGAATTCTCAGCAATTCACATTAAAATGTACATAGCAATGCATGCAGCAGTTCTTGTCTTTGTTGGGCTTTATTCCTACAGAGGAAGGCTATAAAAGTGGAACAAGTGTGGTGAAAGCTGCTGTGCTTTCACACCAATTCACACCAAGTGCATGTCAACTTAATCAAAACTCTGTAAGAGCCAGCTCCTCCTCTTCACAACCGAATTTATAAACAAAACGAAAGGCAAATTCCACCATTAAGTTTTCCCACATTTATGAATTAACTTGATAGCATTTTAATTAGACAAGATTACGAGCATCTCACAACAGACTAGTTAATGGCTTGTTAATTAGGAATTGCAAGGCACGATTTCTGACCTGCTAAACAATATCCTTGAGCTCAAATTAAAAGGACTTGTTCTCTCATTGAATGGATTGCTAGGCCTCATGCAGAGGTCCTAATAAACCAGCCATAATAGAGAACAAGGCTTGCCTTCCACCACAATCAGTGTTCCCTTTGTGCCTTTTCTAAATCACTAACAAGGAATTAACACACTCCAACATGCACACTCATCAGACCCTTATTCTTCTTGCTACTATGACCCCGATTTGAATGTAAAATATTCTGCTTAAAGAAACAAAAAACAAAAACACAAAAAACCACCTGTTAGTTTCTTCAACTAACTTGATTAACACACTAACTTTTTTTTTTTTAAAATAGGGAAGAGGACCTGAACCTGTTTTTACAGTGAAACAGCAGAATACTCGAGTTGTGAAATTAAACAACGAGTAATGGTATCTTTTGTATTCAAAGCACCTACCACATTGTGAAGTCTACAGAAAAAACTCTACAGAATTGCATATGATTAGTGTATTATCCAGTTTTCCTTTCTGTTTATAGTTTATGGAATCATAAGTATCAGTACAACTTAGGAGACTTAGCAAGCACTGTTTTTCTTTTGCAATAAAATGTTCTTTCCTCACACTGACAAATGTGGTTCCTAACTAAAACAAGAGAGCAATATATGAACATAAATGTATAAAGTAAAAAGTTAGACACAAGAAGCTTTAAGCAAGCAAGTAAGATATACTCTAGATAAGTCAGATACATCTGAGATCATTTTTAATCTTCATTAGGGTCTGAAACAGGGTGTGAGGGTGGACTGGGGAAAGACAGGCTGAAAGGAATAATGAAAGCAATACATTTGTACATACTATTTACATTAATACATAATTATCCAGAATTCTTACAGGGTAAGTAAGGTGTTGATAACATCAACAGTCTATGTCAGCACCTCTATTGCCTGGTATGGTGTGAATGTCATCAAAAGACTTTCCTTAATATTTAATTTGCATTTCTTTAAATATAGTTGCTTCTAAATTTACATTAGATAGATAGATGGCTGATGTGATACTTTCTCACAAAGGCATTTTCTAGGTTTTTAATAATGGCTCTGATACGTAGGCAACATCCTCAGAAAGGTTTACAGACTATCACTTAGAAAGCAATTATTTTTACAGAAATGCAGTCCATTAGCCTTTGAAGCTCAACATTTTTTCTACAAAAATGAGACAAAAGTGGTTTTATGTCCTGATGCAGATGATCTGGTACTACCCAATCATGTTACTAAAGAAAAAATGCACGCAGATCACCTACATTTTGATTCCCACCACTGTAATTACCCCTCTTAACACAGCCCTCCCCACTCTCCCTGTGTGGGTTTCTTTACTAATGTGAAAGAATGCACAACAGCATTCTATTAAATAAAGTAAGTATCACAAGACAGTCTGGAAAGATCAAAAAAATGGGTCTTTGAGAAAGCAAGTTCAAATAAATCAGAGTTTTTTGGTTGCTTTTGTTTGGAGTTTGTTTTGCTTTTTAAACCAAGACAAGCTACAATCTCACTTCACAAGATATAACCTTTGGATAAGCAAGCAAACGAAGCAGGGATTGCAAAATGATTTTGCAGAAAACACATTTCAGAAGATACCTCCTTTCGCTACTGTGGAAGAGTATTTCCTGCACAAATACACACTTCCCTAAGGACAGTTTTCCAGTTTTCTTTGAAGAAAAGAAACCGGTCTCTGCTCTCTACACTGGCACCGGACATACAATTATCCAGAAAACTTATCTAGTGTGACTTTATTCATATTAGCTTTAAGAGGGGGTTGTGAGCACAATACCTCAGTGACTCAAAGTGTGGGAGGTAATTTCCCGCACCTCTTGTCCTCATTATCTTTTAAAATTCTTTCCTTCCTTCAGACAAAATTCTCTTGTGTCCTGAAATATCCGACTTGCAAAAGCAAAGGCAGCTATTCCTGCATCAGTATTAGAGTAATTATGCGGTCCTTCCTGTCCTCTGCTTAGCAGATGGCAGACTGGTATTCCACACAGAACTGAGCATCTGCAGTCCTGTCCTTGAATAAACCACTTACTGAATAGAAATGGAAAAAGAAATCACTCCTAGAAAACAGTGCTGTATCGCGGCTTAGTTTAAGCCATGCACCTAACAAATTTTCAAGTCATTTGGCAATCACTTCTGCTTATGAAAAATGCCTGTTTTCTATCACCTTAAAGGTTACCTTAACTTAAAGCAATTACATAATACTAAGGGGTTTTAAAATGTCTAGTTACTCATTTTTATTCTAACTATCCATTCCCTTTTATATAGGAATTTATATATCATTTCAGAGACTAGGATAAACTGTTCATAGCTATTTCAGCATATTTTAGAGTTTGAGTATACTTTTTCTCACTATAAGAGACCAAGGGGTGAAAGGAGAGCGGATTTTACCATTCAGCCAATATTCATTCTAAGAGAAGATAGTTAAGCCAATAAAGTATCAATTATTCTACTCCAAAATATACGAAAGCCAGTGAAGTCACTAGAATTTGGGGATGTAGACAAAAGAGCTGTCTCTGGTGAAAAGTTCAACTCTGTAAGTCTCCAGGATTCTGTTGTATGCTCTGTCCTTCCCTGCCAAGCACACCCATGGAAGAGAGTAGGCAGAAGCTCCTGCTGAGGACAGAGGGAAACCCAGATAGTAGTATGGAGGCCCCAGGTTTTAAAGCCCATTCTTAACTTCCAAATCTGCTCACTAGAGCGATCAGACAAGGGTGAGTTGGAAGAACAGTCAGTCCCATAAATGAGATGATGTGGCAAAAGCATTTTTCCCCAAGCATGCCTGTTGATTACAATATGCATTTATATGCCAGTATGCTCTGATGCAGCCCTGGTTATGAACCATTCAAATTTGACAGTCTTTGCAAGGACATTCAAGTTCTTACCACATACAAGTAGTTAAATAGTATTTAAATCAAACTGCTTACCTTCTGCTTTCATGTAATGCACGGAGTATGCAATCACTTTGTCTGAATTATACAGTGGCCTCTCCCATGCTAGCAGGATCGCTGAGCTTGACATTGTTTCAGCATGGACATTGTAAGGTGCACTGGGTCTGTCTTCTGACATAACTACAGTAAGCCTGGCCCTGGAGAGAATAGATCCCTGGCTATTCTCAGCCATGCACTGATAAATGGCATCGTCTTCAGGAATGATCTGGTTAATCACCAATTTACTGAATCCAAAAGGAAAAAAAGGGGGAAAAAAGCTCACATCGTGGATAAACTTAGCTCTACATTATGCAACAACAGTTATGTTTGCCTCCACTTCATGAGTTTAGTACAGTTGACTTATGCACCACAAACTCTTCTATTAGAAACAGATGTGCAGCTGTGAAATTTAGCTACTTCAAGTGTTCCTCAAAACCTGCCATGTTTATGTTTATGCCTGCAAAGCCAGGCACAGTGAAAACAAACCTGGAAATCTATTCCCTGCCTGCAAAAAGCACAACCTTAGGGTTCTCATTTTTTAACCAACTCTTTAATATGAGCTGCTCACTATACAGAAGTAGTGAAATGAAGCCTCAAACAACTAGCAAGATTCTGGTCTCTGCTACACTACTGTAAATCTAGAGCAAGTCTGTGGTGAAATCACTTCAGTTTTCACCCCAGGTAAGGCAGCGATCACAAAAGCTTTGCTGAGGATATTCCTTCTGCCAAGGAAATGTCCATAATTACATTTAATGTCCAATTTCACGTTTACTTGAGTTGTATCTTGCTTGGCTATATTTAGTTACTGGAATTTTATCCTTTGGTAGCATGTCACTAGCACAGCTCTCATACAGCAATTGTAATCTTACCTGTTGTACATTTTTATTCTACCATTGGAGTGTATTCTCCTTCCATTTTTTAACCATGAAATTTTGGGGACAGGATTTCCTTCTGCCTGACAAGCAAAACGAGCAGTACCAGCTCTAGGCCTTGTTAAACTTTCCGGCCATTCCACGAATGAAGGTGGAGCTACAGATAAATAACAAGGGGGAAAAAAAAATAAAAATGAAGCCCCCACAAATGCAAGGACAGTCAGAATAATAATGAATTTTCCACACACAAACCTCTCTCCTCAGGCCACTCAAATACACATATACCCATGCAGAAAGCACGTTCCATGTAAACAAAGCACATTTGTCTAAAGATACATACTATCTGCACAGATAGCAACATTTCTACACATTTTTGTTCATGCATTTATGTATACAATCAAATCAAACTCCAGCCTATGACATACTGCTCACGAAGCATACATATATATTACATATTTCTACTTTGTTACAGGATTCTTTTCTATGTTGAAAGCCTGTCTTCTCAGGGCAAACATTGCACCTGGGTATCTCCAAGTGCAAATAATTGCTAGTTTATAACTCAAATGTTGAGTATCTGACACTTTTCGTCTAAGTCAACAGACAGAAGAAGGCAGCCACAGTTTTGTGATCTGTTCCATCTCTGCAGTCTCCCTAGCCCTTGGTGTGCTATGTTCGAGATAAAAATTCAGCCCAGTACACAGCACAGCTCAAGACAGACAAGTTGTTAAAACACACTGTGGAAGTCAAAGCAGGCTCACCCAGCACAGTGAGAGTTGCCATTGCTACCGTGAAGTTTCGTGTGCCTGGAATAGTGGCTCGACAGACATACACGCCTGCATGCTGCACCTTTACGTCAGAGATCATGAGGTTTCCATTTCCAAGGACACGTGTATTGAAGACGTCAATGGACTTATGGTCTATTTGAGAGAGTGGGAGAAGTGTGATTACAAGGCTGTTCAATGTATCTAAGTAACTTCTCTAAATAGGGTTGCCTAGGCAGTAATGGCATAGATTTGAGTTCAAAAGTCAAAAGATGCAAAGGGAAATCACAGATGAGCTTTCAGAGGTTGCCATTTTGCATTTGCTTTGCTCCTCACTCTAGTTATCTGACCATTCAGATGGTTGGGTCTCACCACTTGGTAAGTGGTTTATATCTGAAATTCACCATCACAGCTAAAAACCTAATGCCATCTTCCCAGTTAGCCTCCCCAGTTGCCTTGCACTATGATTCAGTTCATCACTACCAACACCCACATCATCCTTACAAACAGGGATCATCTGTCGCCTTCTAAATTATGCTGGGGATAAAATGAATATATTTGATTGCCATATATTTTCTTCTGCTTTCACAGCAAATGCTCTATGACTGTTAGGTAACTTTTTTCTTGTTTGTCTATAAGAGCCACTGAATCAACCAGGAAATCTATGTTTATGTCTCCCACTTTTAGAAATAAAAATGTAGGAAAGCTTCTCATTCTTCTACAGGTACAGTCCTGATTTTCACATTTAGGTACATGTCAGAATAAAAATAGAGATAGTTTTCATGGAAAAACGTGATGCACAGATGAATGTTATTATTGTTATATTGTTATGTTATTATTGTTATATTGTTATTATCGCATTCCCTCTCTTCTCCCCTTCTAGGCAGACTACTCAGGGTTTGACTATACCTATCCATAGTCCAAACGGCCCATTAACGCAAGGTCCAAGTCACATTCACATACTGCTTCTAAGAAGAAGAGGGGGAGAAACATTTACAGGATTGTTTCATAGGATGCAACCACTCCATCCTGCCCTAACTCACCACTGATTCTACTCCGAGTCACAGATCCCTGGAGGTCACCACCCTACCCAGCACTTTGCCCCCCCACGGTGCTGAGGGCAGTGTGGGATTGACAGCAGAAGCGGGGAGTCCAAAGCCTCAGAAAACCTCAGGGCTTCCTAACAGCAGCATGGAAGTATGCAACTAAAAGCGTTTTACTATCCTATACTAACCTACTAATCTTTACCTACTACATGAAGCCTCAGAACAGTAACCTAATTGCTGAAATCCTTTCTTTCCAGTTTCACTTCCTCTCCACAGGCTGAAGGTCATATGCTATAATTTTAAGACCTACCTAACCGGCTCCATGAGATGATTGGCTTTGGATTCCCTGTGGCTACACACTCCAGTATGACAGTTTGATGAAGAGATGCTGTAATGTTTTGAGGACCAGCTATTATAGATGGCTTGTGAAAAGGCTTACTTTTTTTTTTTTTTTAAGGATACTTAAAATTAAATTTACACCAAAGCCTTATTTCAGTAATTGTGGAAACTTACACTGAACAATATTTTAGCCGCAAGATACAAGCAAGCAAAATTATTATTTGGGCGGGTGGTTCAGAGGACAGTTACAGCTCTTCAATGCACGTAAGTGGTTTTTCTATAAAGTAAAAAAGAATATAATGCCATTGAAAAAAATCTCACATGGTGAGTACCTGGAATAACACTCAGCACTGCCTCAGTGCTTTTACGTCTATTGGCTATTGTTGTGGCAACACATCGATAATTCCCAGCATCCTTCTGTTCAACACCATAGATCTGAAGAACTCCTGTAGGTAGAGCAGTTATCCTGTCACAGAAACAAAAAAAAGAAATGTAGATAAACGTTCAGCCAGTGAACACCATCATGGAATTAACTACTTGATTTACAAACAGCCATTACTACGCTGACCTGGGAACAGTAGGCTGGAGACTCAAAAACATTCTCTACACATGACTCACCTCCCCGCATTTCTGAACTACAGGCGAGATTCCCTCCAGCACCACGATGAGATCAGAGGAATTTACTTTCAACAAGCAGATCTTTCACCCTCGGAAGCAACCATGCCAACCTTCTTTAGCTGGCTACTACATACATACTATTCAGGTTGGCTGATTTTTGGCAGCAATTTCTGATATACCGGCATAACTGGTATACGGTTTCCAGAAACCCACCTATGCTTTCAATTTTTATGTTTCTCTTTTTACCTTCCTTTGCGTGCTAGGTATCTTAGACACGTTCAACAGAAGTTACATGTCGAGAAGGATGGGAGTAGGTTCAACGAATACAATCCGGACAGGAAAAGAATCTAGCAGGGAGCAGGCTGTATGCTTCAAGTTAATCAATTCAAGAGAAGTCCCTCTGCACAGAATTTCCCTAGCATGAAGTGTTTTAACTCAATTTTCTGTACATATAATACTTTATTGGCCCTCTAAAGAAAAACAGATTCAGCATCAATTCTGTGAAAGCAATCCCGCTAGTTCAAACCACGCCCACAGCCAAAGTCCATCTATTCTGTATCCCACAGCAATTCCCATTCCTGAGGATGACTTGCATACAAAGTTCTCCAATGACAATTCACAGGTCAATGATTACTGTGTAGACAATAGCAGGTGATTCTGGTCTGCACTCATAACACCTATTTAAAATTCATTAACAACGTAACTATTACTAGCTATTTTAATAGTTGACATACTATACACATGGAACCTTTTTTATGTAATGGCATTGCAAGTATTCAGATTTTCTTCTTGTAGCAGGCTCAAAATTATCACAGAAAATAAATGACATTCTAAAATGTGTAACTCTACATACCTGTCCATGACTAAAGGTAAAGTTGTTCGATTCAATTCCCATGTCACAGTGGCAGGAGGGTTTGCTGTTATTTTACAGGCAAATCGAGCTACTCCACCTTCTTGGACCTCAGTTGAAAGTGGCTGGACTTCAAATGCAGAAATGGCTAAAAATAAAAGAACATTGAATTTAAAGGACTAAAGTGAGGAAAAATTCCTGGCTAAACCAAACTCTAGATCATAGATCAACTTGCAAAAACACCCAGAAATACTTCAAATAGTCCTCTTTTCTACACGCAAAGAAAGATAGGTCTAATTACCTTGTCAACTTTGCTCTATAGCATGGTTTCACTGGTTGACGGTTTACTTAAAATAATTTTGCTTTAACCTAATTCAGTAAAAAAAATGTTTCAAGGAAAATTAAAATGACACTCAAATAGAATTAAGCATGCAAGTTGACTGGCATGCAGCTAGAAAGCTTATCAATTATTAAACTACTGAAGTTCATGTCAATTCAACTAGTTTGGGACTGACCCCCCTATACTTCAAAAAAAAAAAAAAAAGTCTGCAATAGAAAATTTCCAAAACAACATTCAGTTCCCGATATATTTTAGTCCTTTAATAATACTCACTTTAGCAAAAGCATTTGGAGAGTTGCACAAATTCATGTTTGATAAGAAAAATAAATCAAAACCAAGAAAGATCTCAAAATAAGTTTATTCATGTGAGAACACTTTCATCCCAACAGTCCGAGCAGTCACTGAGGGGATGTCTGATGCACAGAGCATCAATATAATTTCAAGCATTTACAACTTAAGGAGTTCACAAAATCGAGCCAATTTGAAGTGGCAGATCAATAAATACCTCGCAGCTAACAGACACCTAAGAAATTGATCAGTAGTTGGATTTCTTTGCTCAGAAAATAAAAGCTAAAAGGGAAAGGAATACAAAACCCTCTAATTAATTGCTCTATTTGCAGCTACTTACAACATAATTAACGGAAAAAACAACTCTTCAGAGGCAACTCCTTTTGGATAACTAGCAACACAAATAATTCCACACACATTTCCACCCCCTGTAACTGCACAGGGAACAATCTCTGCATAAACTCAATGGTACTGATTTGTTTTTAAAAAAAAAAAAAAAAAAAAAATCGGATTTCAAATAAATTTCTACTCTTGTATAAATTATACAGAAACATGATTTCAGTAGATAAACCCATATTAGTAAGTTACCCATCTCTCAACATTCAAGTTTTGTGTTGAAAGAATTCCTCTATTTTACTTGTTTATTAATTAAAACTGGTTTTCATCCTATTTATTTTCATCCATCATCATGTTCTCAATAATACCCTTCTGCGTAGAGGACATACAGTACTGATGCACACCAAGCATTCTAATGAATGCTCCCCACCCCCCGTCATTTTAATACTACTGCATAGCATCAATGGATTAATACTGGAGTGTGAAGGAAACGTGACATGACCTGGTTGCTTTCACCTCCATGCACAGATTAACTCCTAACATGGGCCTAACTACATAACTTAAAGATTCCTATTACTAGTATACCTATTTCACTCCCCAGGTCAGAATAAATCCTTTTTTGCACTGCATTCCGGTAGTTGCATCAGCACTGCAGGAATGAACGTTCCTAATCATACCAGCAGAGTTGAAGTGTTGCAGCTTTGTGAACAGACCTCCCAAAGACTGTGATTAACAAGACAACCAAACCACCTTTACAGCAAAATCACCTGAAAGCAGTCGTGGCCACATGATGCAAACACCGTGGCTGTTGGAGACTAGATCTGGCACCTCAAATGTGATCAGACTCCGAGGATGCAAGCAGAGATGCTCCTGGTATCCATTTTTATGACCAGTCCCGTGCTTTTGGCAGTGGGTCCCCACAGCCCCAGCACACTCTGCAGCCTGTTCCCTACCCACCTTCACTGCAGACAGAACTAGCTTCTCTCACCAGCAGAATTTAACCTAGTTCCCTATGTTCCATTTTTAGTTCTTTCTTTCACTTTTGAGCAGTACCAGGTTCAAGAACAAACAAACAAAGAAAACCCACAACTTGCATAAAGATGTTACAACAGAAGTCTTAGATTTAAAGCCTATTGGGGGAGACACAAAAACAGTTTTCTCCTTAAACAGATTTTCTTTTGATTGCTAAGGAATCATCATCAGAAAAAAAAAAAATTAAAAAAAAAAAAAAAAAAAAAAGACTTTAGTTCTTTGCCTACCTACAGAAGTTCAGCTTCACAGAACAGAAAGACTCAGTACAAGTCAAATAACCTGCACATACACTAGGTTGTTCCCATAACTCTAAACTTTCTGGATTTGCCTTCTGCTGAATTTGATGCAGTCTGACTCTCCTGTAGTTTTCCACCACAGAAGGGGGGGGGGGAGCATCCAGGCTTGTCTTACTTCCTCCCTTCCCTCCCCCTCCGTTCTAATTCCTCCCTACACAGAAAACGTGTTCACCCGGAGTCAGAATAATATTTCCCTAGTGCCGTTCTTCAGAGATTTTCTAGCAGAAAACATAGTGCTTTGCATTCTTCATTTATTTACTGGAAGTATGACGTAGCAAACTAGGCAAGTCTGCTTAGCTTTCAAAATAAAATCTCTAGGCATATAATAAAAGGCATAGATAATAAGAACAACACAAATCAACGTAACACGAGTTTCAGAGCCATCGCGTAGCACAGCTGCACCACACAGCCAGTGGCATAAGGAAGGACCATTTTAACAAGGCAGAAAGATAATTATACAGTCTTATCGAAGCAAAGCCCTTACCTTTAAAAGATTCGTCTCCATAGGAACTATAAAATCACAGCCAGAATTTTCTTATATTGGTACGATTATTTAAAGGGACAGAGTGAGACAACAGAAACACAATATTTGGTTTTCATTTCTGTATATGAAAAGAATTATTTATTTCCATGCATCCGGTACATTACAGCTGAAGATTAAAGGCAGAAGCGAGACTCTCAAGAACTACAAAAGAAACTGAGGAAAATTAGTATTTCACAGAACACAAAACGTCATCATGATAGCAAGCAAGAACAGATTCAGCTATGCTATTTAGAAAATCCAATGCAAGTTGTTAATTGAAGCTGATATTTAAAGAACATTTTTCCACCTGAGCAGGGACAATGCATTTCCTCAGAAAACTAATCTTTAAAGATAGCAAAAGCCAGAACTATGGAGAACTGCACAAAATCTTCAGAAAAACTCATTAATGTCACTAAACGTGGTTTTAGAAACAAAAAATCTCCACTTACCTCTCATCTAAATTTATACATTGTTTATCAGTTTAGTTCAACACTTGTTCCTTCTGTATCTTGTTTCTTTATGCAAATCTCTGGTTTATTCTTAATTCTGACTACGTTTGTTCCAGTAAAATCTGTTTTTACAAGTCTATTGCTGTCTTGTGAAACCTGACCTCTTTGTAACAAGCTTGTTTTCATGGCAAGTGCTGATACCAACTCAGAACCCCAAAAAAAGTCATTAAAGCAGTGCTGTTAAGAGGCCAGAGCTCTATAAAATGGATAAGAAACAAAGTCTCAAGAGACATACCTTGTTCCCGAAAACAACCCTGCAAAACGCAATAAATATAAGTGCCTTTTTATTTGAGTTTTCCCCCTTTTCTCCAGTCTATTTAATAATTTTGTTCCCAGATTTATAGCCAAAAGAAAACAACTAATGTTACTCAGAGAACCTTTTTAACTTGCAAGATACCAAACACTGCTAACAGAAGAAGAAAACAACAGCTAGAAACTGTATTTACTTTTATAAATTCCTGCAGTTTATGTGACGGGAACATGTGTTTGTACAGTTACTTTTGAGTATGAATATCTTTGATGGCATAAAACACACAATTCTGTCCAATAAATTTATCTGTGCAGAGAGAAATCAGAGTTTGGTTCTGGTATGAGTTCCTTCATTTACCATGGAGGCAAATATCCACAGGCTCAAAAAAGAAATGATTACTTGCTGTTACACACTGAGAAACACTGCTGGTGTCTCCTGCACCATACACGGACTGAATACTATCCTGCATGCATGCAAAAAAAAAAAGTGTGTACCTAAACAGGTTTACGTAGACTTAACTATTAAGGTACAAAAAAAAGTAAGACTTAAGCAGGTCATCCTTCACATCTTGTTTGTTTGTTTGTTTAAATACAGCAGTAGTACTTGACTCACTTTAAAAAAAAGAGAGAAACAAACAAACAAAAACACAACACACACCCACTTAATTCACTCCTGAAATGAAGTCCTGAAGCTTGTTCAAACACAAGTCCAGGTGACTTGTTCACTTACATGCTGCGCTTTCTACTCACACACTTTGTGCCATTAAGTGATTTTCTGAATGAGCTTTCTTAAGAGGCAAAAGAAATTCCAACAACCTACATGTTTATTATTGTTAAAGCTTGCTGGTTTCATCACAACTGACACTAGCCCAAGACTGGACTGCAACTGTATAATAAAGAAACTGAAAGAATGGAAGATAAAACCCCTGAACTGAAATTACTCCCTGAACTGAAACAGTAGCGCAGAATTGGGTTTCACGTAACCAGAATGCAGTAAATATTGAGAAACTCTCCAGCATGTGATACCGACCACTTCAGTGTTTCTCAAGAGATAATGGCCACTCAGATAGATGAACTGCTCAGGTGGAAAGAACAAAAGTGTATAATGCCATTTGTAGAACTTACTTGTTAATGCTATTGAGAATTACACAATAGCCCTAACCCTTCAAATGAAACCAAGAATCTTTTCCTTTTTTTTTTTTTTTTTTTTTAACTCTCAGGTGAAGAGGTTTTACTTGAGAAAAATAAACTTGCATGTTAAAGAAAAGCTATGGCTTTTTCCAAAGAAATGGATTTCAGAACAGCACATGATAAATTTAATATCAAATTTTCGCTTTTTGATCTAGTTTTTATGATGCTCGCTCTCTCTGAAACAGTATTTAAAAATGCAACAAATATACATGTGTATTAGATTTTAGTACCAAAGCCAACTTGCACGTATTTTCCTTGAGTTTAGTGCAATATCTCAGTCCTTGCAGGAGCGAGGCTTAAAACAGATTATGAAAGGAGTTCTGCCATGCCTTCTGGTATATGGACACATATTTCCAAATGATTTGCTACTCAAATGGCACACTC